ATATGAACATAAGCACACAGCAGATGGTCCTGCTAATTAGTGTGAAACAATCTTGCTATATAGATAATCTTGCTGTCTCTCCTTGCATGCTTAAATATGATGGAGTGTATGAGTTTGAAAAAATCTGGTCTTAGTTGATGAATTATTTAGTTTTGTTACCAAGATGGTGCAATCTTGTCAAGGGGCACTTTCTTTGTTCTGGAACTTTCTGTTAAGCACTTTTTTTTCTCCACCCTCTTCTTTTTCAATAAGGCTGCTTCGCTGATCCACCCCAAAGAGATCCCTCCAGAGGCCATCCTGCTGGCTGTGTATCTTGAATTGCAAAATGGTAAGCTGGGAGATGTTCTGGCAGCCTAAGTTTGGGATACAAAGGCAGGAGGGCAGCACTCATCATTCCTACTCTATCTAGAGAGCGTTTGAACTATACCCTTTAGGGCCTGCCTCCATTTTACACTGCTGTGGATCCAGGTATGTGCACCTTCAGTTCCATAGTTTATTGCCATCCTGTTTTTACACACTCCAGACCTCCTAAATGTTCATTTCCCGAGCTGAAGTTTTCTATCTTGGTGCAGAAGTCATCAGTCTGGGATAGGCTCAGTAAAACCCTTGATGAAGTTTATACTATAAAGAGGGTTTGAAACGCTTTCTCCATTAAAAAGAAACCACAATCCAGGTTTCCCAAAGAAGCTGTGACAAGTACATAGAGCAAGTGGAGCAAGTATGGCAGCAAAACCTGTAATACTGATCACTTTCTCTTTCACAATGCTTTCCTTTGAAGGTTCACTGTGTTTGTATGAGGGGAAAGCTCTACATAGTGGGAAACTGGAAAGGTTGCACTTGAATTCTGCAGTGTGAGCAGACTGGTGCAGCTGCTGCTTGAAGCGGTCATGGTTGCAGACCTGCGCCCCTTGGGGGCACTTCATTGTCCAAGTGTTGTGAAATGTTCTGTGTGCCTGTTCCCCTTCCTTGGATGTTCCAGCATCCCCTTGTGCTGTTGCATTGCAGGCAGACAGAGGATTTGAGCATTTGCATTTGGAATTGAGACTTCTGCAAAGCTTTTCTTACAAAGATGTTTCTAAATTGGAATTTTGGAAACCTTTATTTCTGCAATGAAGATGTACAGAGCAGAAGAGAGTAGGAAGTCGGATTTACATCCCTCACCATCTTCTAAGTACATAACTAAAAGAGGATAAAGACATTTTTTGTTCTATAACAAAATGGTGCATCTCTTCTGAAACTAAAACTTCAGGGAAACAATTATGAGGGAGAAATACTCTCCACACAACTCAGTTCCATTTCTCCTATAATTTCACAGGTTTAATTTATAACAAAGAATAAGTTTTCCATGTATATTGTTAGCTGTTTGATGGACTATACATACAGTTGAAAATCAGATTTCTTCTTTTAAAACCTCTTTTATCCCCTTGGCATCCACATGTACTGTCTGCAATACCACTGTGTGAGGGCATTGTGTGTGTGATCTAGCACCTCACTGTGCAGCTGGGAGAAAGAAGTGGTGACCTTTGGGAAATTAGAAGGTGTTTTGGCATCTTCCAGCTCTGAGGTAAAAGCTTGATGTCTTCATCCCAGAATAGGTGGACTCAATCAAAACTATTTTTTTTTTCAAATTTCCTGTTGTCTACTGTTTTTCCTGTCCATGCCAGCATTCCACTGGAGAGGAAGGACTGCTGGTGTACCTGGCCTGGGCCCAGGCCTGGCTCATCAGCTCTGTCCCTGAACAGTAATTCATATGTCATTAGATGGTATTTTGGGTCTTTTAATTGAAACTTATCTTGTAGGTAACACGCAGCTGGCACTGCAGATCATCAAGAGGAACCAGCTGCTCCCTTCTGTGAAAACCCTCTCTGACATGCGGAAAAAGCCCGTTTTCCAGCCGGTGCACTCCATCCAGCCCATTCAGATGCCAGCTTTCACCACTGTTCAAAGGAAGTGAGGTTGTGCTTTAACCTGCTGCTGCCCTGGTCAGGGGGGCTTGGGATTTTGTATATTTTTTTAACCTAGGACGCCTGAATACCCCAATTGCTGGAGTGTGTTTGTTTATGTAAATTTTTAATAAAACATGTAAACCACAAGACTTGTGTGTAAAGGTTATTTAATGAATGATGGGACATTGGTACCTGCTTTGAATGACAGTGGCAGTTTAGTCACAAAAAAAAAAAAAAAAAGAGGTTATCCAAATGTGTAATTCAGCTCTTTTTGAAGAGAATAGAGGGGAGAGCAGTGAGTGGAGAAAACCATTTACCTGAAGTAAAGTCCTTCTGAAGGAGCAGTTGAGTTGTTGTGTTTGCTGCTGTTTTGACATACAGAAGCCATGCTCTTCCTCAGTGAAGAGGGAACCTGTTTCTGTTGACTTTTTTTTTTGCTTTTGTTTTGTGATCCCCTCTCCCTGGTTTTCCTTTGCCCAACAGAACAGTGTCATGGTGCAACTATGGAGGAAGTATGGATCTGGCTATAAGAAAAAGGTTGTTTGAGTTTTTTTTGGTAGGTTTTTGTTGGTGGATTTTTTTTGTGACGACCAGGGGATTGAGAGGGTGAGGGTTTTTTTTGGGGGTGTTTTTGATGGGGTTTGGGTTTTTTTTTTGGTTGGTGGGGATTGTGGCAGATTTTAATCTAGTTTCCAATGTAGAGGAATACCTCTCTAACAAAAAAAAAAAAAAAAAAAAAAAAAAAAAAAGCCTTTTACTCAAAGGAAGCTGGAGCATAATCAAGGACCTTCTGCTTACTCCGAGCACAGGAGGGGAGGAGATGTGTAAGATGATTGGAGCCCAGCATCCCTCTCACAGTCCCTCCAGGGTTGTTTTGTGCCATTTCAGCTATCCTGATAATCTCTAGGGTAGAGCTGAGCTACCACCTTATCTCCCTGTGCTGCTGGCGTTGTACTTTGCCTCCAGCCAGCACCAAGAGGTCGCTTCTCCCAGCAGCACCTTGGATTCAGGGCCTGCCACTTCTGCTCTCAGTACCGCGAGTGTGAGGGAATGCAGATGTGTCCAGGAGAGGAGGGCAGCAAGACACCCTGGTTTTGTATCCATCATCTTGGAGAAACCAGCTGACAGAAACAGCACAGCAAGTGTGTTCAACAACGTAGTTGTGGGGTGAGCACAGGTGTGCCTCCAGCAGGAAGCAGGACAGAGCAAACTTGAGACCTGCTACTCTGTCAGGTAACTGCCTGCCCTGCTTTTCAGTCCTTCCAGACCCAGTAGCTGCCTTTTCAGTAACTTTTCTATCACTGAAAATGCTGCAATGCACTCTTGTCTTCAGGTAGGGGCAAACAGTTTAGAAACATAGGGAATAAAAAAAGTATCAGGAGTAAGTTGGTAGTGATCACCTTTCTGAAAGAAGGAAGAAAGGGAGCTGATAGATTTTTTACGTCAGAGTAGATAGACTGATTAAATACAGGAAGGTTCAAGATGCTCCCTGTGTGGTCCCGGCCCTGAATAGAGAAGATTCTTCCCCGCCCCCCCAGGAATGCGGGACATTCACATGCAAAAGATGCTCTGGCCGTGCCCGGGCTGGGTGAAGGATGCAGTTGTTCCCAGATAAGGCACATCTTATCGCAGCCTCGGGCCCAGGGCAGTGTCCTGGGGCGGCGCAGCCCCCGCTGCAGCTGTGCCCTCTCCCCTGCCCGCGGCACCGCCTGCACAGGGGGATGGACAGTGCTGATGATCGCTTGCTATTAAACAGAAAGGAAAAATTAAATAACACATCAAGGGAGGCAGCAGCCAAGGATCTAACTTCTACCTTCAATCCTTTTAATCTCTGGTAGGCAAGAAGTGAAAGTGAAGTAACGGTGAGCTGTATTTCAGTAGAAAAACGAGGAGCATGAGCAGCCCAGGCTCAGCAGTGGGCAAAGTTGGTAAACCCAATAATGCTCAGCAGCTTGGTTTGGGCCACTTCCTGAAGAAAGGGTGCCTGTCCCTCTCCCCCACTCTCCCCTCACCTCCAGGATCTCCCCTGCAGCAGCACACTGGCTCATATTCTCACAGCAGGAGAAAGGGTGCTGCATTTCTTTTTCCCCCACCACACACAAGCCTTGTTGCTGCCTCAGGCTTGTTCCTGCACCACGCCTGTGGCCACTGCTGTTTCTCTGATCAGAACCTTTAGCTCTGCCCATGGCCCCGGTGCAAGGACTGGTCAGCACTCATTGAGCAGTGTCCTGAGCCATCTCCTGGTGTTCAGGGAGCTTCTGGGTTCCAGTTGTCTTCAGGAAGAGAGCACAGAGGAGCCAATGCAATACAGAGTAACACAGGAAGCTGGACAAACTCACCTGGGCAGCCTTTGTCCCTAGTCCCCACAGGGCATTCTCCCTGCCACTCTCCCTCTTGAAGGGATTTCTGTACTCCTGACATGTTGCCAGCTGCTCCAGCAGGAAGAAATCAAGGGCCTGGTGAAGGATTTTGATGAACGGTGCTGAGAACCCTACAGCTGTACAGGCCCACAAGGCATTTTGGCTTCAAAAAGCTAAAATGGCCAGCACTTCCAGAGCCTGGAATCCACCACCACTGCTACCCATGCTGGGAATTTAGTCAGTGGCTTTAATTCTCAAACCTCACTTGAAGAGCATCCTCCTATGTTCACAATTTCTTTTCAAACCTTTTCCAAGGTAGTGAGGAAAAATGGCAGCTTTCCACTAACCCAACTTTTGTTGACAGCGTGCCCTGGTAAGATGCCAGAGAGGCGTATTAAATGTTCTGGTGGCTTTGCTTTACATTGCCATGCAGAAGGAGCATTCTTTCAGTGGTCAAGGTGAAGGAAAGGAAACCTAGAAATAGACCTAAAAAGTTAAACCAGAAGCTTTCTGGCAAAATATTGGGAAAAAAGGATGGAGTTTGAAGCAGTGAGTTCAATATCACAGCTCTCTTCTCCAGTCATGACAATGAGGACTTTTTCTAATAACACAGGACAACTAGGAGGAGCTTTTTCTTTTTTGCATCCTGATAGAAGGCTTTTCCTGGGTGGTACAAAAACACACACACACAGAGTTGCCGTGAAAAAAACCTCACATTTATTTGATTAAACAAAAATAAAATAAACTGCATAGGAACATTTTAAAGTCCAGAGAGACACTGACTTTGTTTTAAGGCTGCCAGTAGCTGATACATCGTCTCCTTGCTACATCCTTCAGCCTTCCCTATGGACCACAAAGATACATTCAGAAGCCTCCATTAACACAAGGGTTCTAACATTTTGTTCACTTATTCTACATAAAAGTTTGCACATAACCTGTCATGCTTTATTCTCTGCAGTACTCAACATCTGACAAGTAAAAATTATATCACTTTTTGTCCAAGTAGAAATGTGATGCCCTTTTTGGAGCACGGCAATTTTTGTCACAGCCTGACCCATTTCAGTTAGATACAAAAGCTCCGAGAAGCTCATTAAAGGCAGAGCACTGTCTGACCTCCTGAGATGTTTCATTATTATTACGAGAGCAGCATGATTATTTACTAAAGTAGAAAAGAAATAACAGAAGAGGAAACTAAGAAACCAAATAAATTCAAGATGCCAACATCCAAAAAATGACAAGATCGGCCTGGATCCCAATGCAAACCTGCACTGAGACAATGCTACTTATAAATCAATGCTACTTATAAATCAGCAATGCTACTTACAAATCAGAAAATTTTGTAAGATGGGGCATACATCTACAGCCAATTAAGGGGGGCGGGGTGGGGAGGAGGAGAAAAAAAAAAGGCATGTTTGACACTGGTGTCATGGGGCTGAGCTTCATTTTGTTCAAGGCTTGCAACTTCTATTTGAGTTAAATTGCAGGCATGTGTTTCACGCCCTCAACTCCTCCAAGGACCTGTGCACAAAGCGAGCAGGGCATGACAGGTAATGCACAGTACAAACAAGAGTCACAGACATAAGAAACCCCCACCAACTCAGGTGACTAAGCAAACCTTACAAACTAGTTAAAAACCTCTTAGTCATTTTAGAGAGAAAAAAAAAATAAACTAAAAAAACCCTCAGAAACAGACATCCTCCCTCTGAAGGAAAAACTACTACATTGTCTGAAAAGTACTCTACAAACCTATAAAAGGGCTTTTTTTTTTTTTTTTTAAACTAGTCTGGTAGTTCAAAAGGAAGTTACTCAACTACATCAGTACACAGACACTTAACATTCAGTCAGTAAGGCTCTATGAAAAGAGCTTAAAAAATTATCTACCTGAGTTTGTAAGTTGATACAATCATTAATAGAAGGTCTAAGACCATGCAGGTACACAAAGCATTTTTAGAACCATTATTGGTTGAACAATGATGGAAAAAGATGCCAGTCTGGCTTGTTAACCCGTAAGATCACTTAGAGACATCAATGTACATTTCCCACCATAACATTTACCAAACCCAACACAGCCTATTGTTATTAGGGGTCTCCTGCACCCATTTCTGCCACCCCTTAGTATGAGCTGGGGAGGAAAAAGGACTTCTTTTTCCTCCAATAGAGTAGTCTGAAAATATGCTTCTGCAACTTAACTCCACAGGTAAAACAGGGTATGTTGAACATCACTAGTTAACTTGCCTAAAACCCCAGGACACTGGTTTTCAACTGCCTCTCCCGAGTATGTCTGAACCTAAGCTGCCCTCCAGGAATAGGAACTTGATTGCTTTGTCATGGTGGAAAAAATCCCATTGAGTCAAGCAAGTTATTAATACAATCACCAAGTCAATAAAATAAAAAACCAGGACCTTATTCCCTTCAAGCATTTGGTATAGCATTGTGTTTACAGCAATCATAACACCAGTCCTCCCAAACAGGACACATTGGTAGGCATGCATAAAAGTTTTTCTCTTGTAGAGAGAAGACCTAAAGGTCTTACGGACATAAGAACACTGCAAATGAACATGAAGTATGTCACGTCAGCCAGTAGTGTCTTAATACTGAACAAAAGTTTACACTTCCATACTTTGTAGTGAAACCAGAACAAACTCAAAAGCGTTTCAGGTCTCAGTCCAGTTTGCCTGAACATTTGATTTTATTTACACATTCTCTAGCAAGGGCAGCTTAATATCTCCATAGGCAGGCAGCAAAAATAAAAGCAAACAAAAGCAAGCAGTCACCACATAGTACACACTTAGTATCTCTGTTTCAATGAAAATGCTCTTCCAACAGGCAGGATGAATCCTTCCTCCAGGTCTCAACTATGTCCCAAACCTGTCTGATGCTAAATTGAGGTAGATGATTTACTTCTGCAAAGTGAGGTAGAACTTCAAGCAAAAGATAGTGGCATCTCTAGTTGTGCATTTTGTACCACAGCAAACTGGGTTTCAAACTCCCAAGGACTCAAAGACCCAAAGGTACAACATTTGTCTAACGCAAGTACCAGTGTTCCTTTTTTATACAGTTCCAAACTGTTTTTCTAAATATCTCTACTTTTAAATACCCTATTACCTTTTGGCACCATTTGGCTTACACTCCTTTAAAAATAAACAAAACTTTGGCACAATACTTTTTTAAACTAGAACGAACAAAGAAATCTTATGATCAAAGTTATGGCAAGATGAGCCTATAAATCTGCTCTCTTCAGAAATCAATTTTGGTTTAACTGTAAAGTAATGGACCAGGCCCACTTTCCTTCAACTCCAAGGGAATGCCACATCCAAGTAACTTGTTCTCTCTCCCAGGTTGGTTATGTCTGGCCCTAACATGCATTAAGTTTTCAGGTGTTATCTTCCTTTCCTTGCTTTCTTTAAAAGTTTCAGGTTTGTGGGCCTCCTTAAATAAGTTATATTTAAAATGTACTAAATAAAAAAGAGCAACTTATTTGAAGGACCTGCATTATCAAGTACTGAATCTGCTTCAGTTTGCTACTAAAGTTCCTGCTTAAATAATTCTGAGAAAGGACAAGATTGCTTTATATGCTGAGCACCCAAACCAGCTACACTGATTGCTGATAACATTTTGTCAAGCAAAAGGTTTACAGAGAACCACTGGTTTAACCTGGCATAGAGAAAATCCTTTGGGAGTTCAAGTAAACAGCTCTGTCCCCCACATTTGCTGTTCCACAGTGAAGAGGCACACACTCACTTTACCCTTCTCCAGGCCATTGCCCCTAGTTAAGAAGGTTACTCTGAATGCTTGTTTGGTTTGCAATCCAGCTCCAAGAAGCCTTGCTTTTCCTCTCAGCATGCATGTACATTACAATACTGGGGCAATTAACCTGAGAACATGTATGGAAAAGCAAGCGGAGCAAGGCTGGAATCTTGTTTATTACTTTTTGATAAGCCTCTATGGGGCATCTGATGTTGGCATTGTATATTAGCACTACTTTTTTTTCATTGCATATAAACACTCCATTTTATAAGCTACACTACCACTCTTCAATGAGACCAAGTGTGCTTAGCACTATCTATCACAAAGATAAGGAATTCTTTTTGGGTAGCTAAATAGTAGTGTTTTTAAAACGAAAAAGCTCCCCAACAACATGAGGTCAAACACTCAAGGTTCGGTTTGCAAGCAAATCCCACTGAGTTAAATAGACAGCAACTTAGAGTTTAAGTCATTCCTCTTCCTGGCTGAGCTGGGCTGGGGGGCTGTGCAATGGCTCCATTCAAAACAGCAAAGGGCAACTTCAGTGTCTGTCACCTTCCACATGGTGCAGGCTGGGGGGACAAAACATTCCTCCAGTTCAACACAATTCTGGCTGCACACTTAACTTTCTTTCTTAATGCCTGGAAAAACAACTCCCTTCTAGCCACAGAGAAGGGCAAACCCCAGAAGCTTTTAAGCACAAGAGCATTTCTAGGACACTTCAACACTGTCAGCCACTGTGGTCAAATTATTTAGAGACCTGGCATTTTCATTAAGACATGATACGATAACTGCAAGGATGCTGCAGACTAAACATTAAAGCTTTTTAAACCACTATTCTTTGGTATCTAGATCTTGCAGGCTATTAGTTTTCACAGCCCAAGTTGCAAATAATTCTTGGGCTGAATAATACAAGACAACCATGGACATCTGTCACAACTGTAGGCTACCCCCAAGAAGGGAGGCGTGCACACAGGCAGAATTTGCAAAACTTTAAGGTAAACTAGCTATTTCTCATACATGTTTTGTGTGGCCACAGAAATTTAATGACAGACATCTGTATAAAAGATTATCCTTTCAAGACTGTTTTTAAACCATGCCATCCTAAGATTAAGCCTAACTGAAACATACTGCTTTGAAGAGTTTGCTTCCTTGAGGCTTTTGCTGAAAGGCAGCACAGTTGTTCTATCCCATTTAATTTAGGTGGTTTTCCTCACCCTTCTTTTGAATGAGGTTTTGCCAACTCATGAATCTTTCTTGTCTCTTTCTGGTCCTTTAGTTTAAGCCTCCTCTAAAGCGGCAGCTCTCTCTGCCTGCACACATCATTGGTATTTCTACAAAACTCAAAGTTAACACTCCTTGGAGGGGAAAAGCAGCAAGAAGGAAAGTGCACCTTGTGATTTCTCACAAACTTGTAAAGAGCCTTTCAACCTCAGGTCACTTTTGTGCATGGTGGCTGGCAGAGAGATTAACCCTTTCCTTGCAGGATGGTTAAGGCTCTTCAGACTTTTTGACAACGACCACATTTACATTTCTGAGATCTTCTCTTGCAAACAGTAAGGTAAATCCCATGGCATTTCCAAACTCAAGACTACTGACAAGAGTTTTTCCATTGCAGAGAGCAATGTTCCCCACTTTAACCAATTCTTGTTTGCCAACACCAGAGGGTCAAGCTACAGGTCTTTAGAGACCATATCTGCATGAACAGCTAAACTGGAATGCAGGAAATTGAAGAATAAAACCAAATCCTTCCAGGGACTCAAAGTCACATTTTGCTAAAGAGATCTCTATTCTCCCCAAAGGTTTCTGCTTCTCAGAACACCAGTTTCTATATCCCCGAAAGGGCAAACTTCCCTCTGCCTCCAAGTTTTTAAGGATCATATACATTAATTTTACACAGAAGTCTTTGGTACTGCCCTGGGAAAAAAGCAGCAAAGTTTCACCTTGATGCAGTTTGCCTTTAGCTGGTACTGGTAACTCTTCACTTGGATCTGTAGCCACAGTTCCTGCAGCAGGGAGCTACAGGCCCACCCCACCCACCCTAAAAGCTACAGTAGCTATTCCCAAAATCTTCAGTCCAGCTCTCTGGGGAAGCCAGAAGATGAACAACAACGAAAAAAAACCAAACAAACAACAAAAAAAAAAAAAACCAACAAAAAAAACCCCACCAACAAACCTAATCAGTGATAGAGTTATTGCAATCCTCTCTGAACAAAAAAAAAAACCCAAAATAAAACAAAGCCAAACTACTGTTCACTTCTCCAAATCACACCCTGAATCTCCAAAGCTGTGCTTATTTCTTACTTTTGGAAAAAGGTACCACTTCTAACAAATTCAAACATTATTCCCTTAAGGTTTCTCTATGGGAAGGAGCAAAAAAATGCTAAGTCATTTCACAAGAAAGTAAATCAAAAAGGTTTAATTTTCCCTGTTTCAATGCTCCTCCTAACCTCTTTTGTTACCTGGATTAGGGGCACTGATAAAAAGAAACTGTAACTTTTTTCAAACTAATTTAGCTTTCAGGTGAAAACGGGTAAAAATGATTAATTCTCAATGACTGGATATATTAAAGGAAGCCTTGCTTTTTATCTAAACTTTACAATGACTGTACTAAGCCACTAAAATGAACAATTTGGTTTAAACTTAAAGAATTTTTGTGCATTTTCTTCAGCTTCACTTTGTGCTGTTAAATTCCTGTGTTTCAGTAAAAAAATACACAGAAATGCCAAAAAAGATGCAAATTTGCTCTTCCTGGCGAATGAATCTCACTCACTTTCATAAAACGTTCAAAGTGGTCTGGGAACAAGATACTGTGCTCGCCAGTAAATCAAACACACTGAGGTATAAAAAGGAGAACAGGAAAAAGTTCTCTGCTGCAGCAGCAATGAAAAAAAAAACAAACCAAAAACAACAACAACAAATGTCCCTCCCTCCCATGTCCCCACCCACAGAACTGCAGAATGGTCAAGAACACAACTTCTCTACAAACACCTACTACCATTTTCTCCATTTAAAAAGTTACATAGCGCCTTTCTTGGCTTAGTCTAACAGAACTCACCACACAAACCACCTAATGTGCACAGCAACTCTTGTTTGTGCATGAAACCCCATTGGGGGAAAGAGGTAAAACGTTCTGAACTATGAGTATGTGGGGATGGGGAGGGGGTGAAAAATCAGGGAGGGAAGGGAGGACAATGAGGTAGATAGAATTCAATTTTACAGGCTCACTCCCTGCAGAAAAGGTAAGTACATTCATCTGTAAAAAAATTAAAGATGAGGTAGGTTTGAATTGACGTTGTATTTTTTCATTTTCTCTTAGAAGAATTTCCCTGAGACAGTTTCTTCCTAATTCAAACACAGATTAGAAGACGAGAATTCGATTGTTTCCAAAGTCGACCACAACAATCATGCCATCAGGGGTGACAGCTATACCTGAAGGACGGTCCATCTGACCAAAGCCGCTTCCCTGAGTGCCAAACTTGCATAAAAAGCTACCATTGGACTCGAATATCTGCACCCGGTGGTTCCTGGAGTCGGCCACGATGATGCGCCCTTCCTGATCCACCGCCACTCCCTGTGGGCGCAGGAACTGGCCGTTGCCGGTGCCCTCGGAGCCCAGGAAGCGTGCTGACTGACAATCTGGATGGATGACCAAGAGGCGATGGTTGTTGAAGTCCGTCACTACCAAGTGACCCTCGTGATTGAACGTCACACCTCTGGGGGAATCAAAGTGCTTCCAGAGTACCCCTTCGAAGCCGTACTTGTTAAGGAACACTCCGTCGGGCCCGAACAGCTGAATGCGATGGTTCCTCGTGTCAGAGACCAGGATCTTGCCTTCTGCATTGACAGCCACATCCCACGGGTAATTGAACTGACCGTTTTTCGCTCCTTTCTCCCCAAACTTCAGAATGAACTGCCCCTCGAACGTGAAGATCTGGATGCGATGATTGTCCTTGTCGGCCACAACGATCCTACGTGAAATGTCACAGGCCACGCCAGCAGGGCGATCGAACTGGCCCGGCCGGGAGCCCAGCGTGCCGAACTTGTGATGGAAGGTCCCACATGGCTTGAACACCTGGATGCGGTTGTTACTGCGGTCGGCGACAATGATGAAGCCTTCTTTGTCAATGCTGACCCCCCAGGGGCGGCAGAGCTTGCCGTCGCTGTCTCCCTCGCTGCCGAAGGACAGCCCCGGCAGCCCGATGCCGATGTAGCTGCGCCCGGACTTCACCATCACTTTGAAGGGGCTGTTCTCAATGTGTTGGTTGCACATCATCACGGACACCAGGTGCTCTCCCTCCAGCTGGGGACGGTAGCTGACCAGGTAGGTTCCGTTCTGCTGATCGCTGACATCTGCCCCGAAAAGGTTTCCATCTGGGCCCATGACCACTGCGGAGATCATGTCACCCCCTGAAAGGCAAGGCTCCCCATCGTGGTTGTAGCCAATCACAGTGAATGAGGCCACCTTGCCCTGCAGCGCACGCTTGAGACCTTCCCCCGTGGCTTTGGTCAAGGGAGCGAAAGCCCCGCTGCTGACAAAGCCCATTGATTTAATGGCCATGTACAATGCCTGGTCAGGGGGGGTGAACATGATCCTGTCGTCTTCCTGTGGCTGGAGAAGGCCTCTGACGTTCTTCAGCTCCTGCACCTGAGCCAGCATGCGGTCCCGAGCCAGAAGAATATCCATGGTACGACCCTCCTCCAGGACCTGCTGAACAGCACTAATGGTGTTATCCAGCTTGTTTAGGTTCTGACGTAACTTTTCAACTTGCAAGTAGAGTGACTTGGCCTTGACTTGGCGAATTTTTTCCACCTTGTGGGAAATGGGGGAGAGAAAAGCACACTTATATCACAAAAGACAGACCACAACACAGAGTTCCTTCAGTCTCCCTTCTACATAAGACAGTTGGACAGTTGTTATAGCATGCTGACACACAGCTGCGGGACAAACCTCTAAAAATCACAATGTAGACAAGAAGAAACAAGGAAAACTAATTACTTATCCAAATTTAGGATTATTAGTCTCTCCTACCCTCCAGGCAACACCCTACATTCCTACACCACAGATATGCTGCATCAGAGTGACATTTGAAAGCAAGAATCACTTGCTTACTAGTAATTATTTGCTTCCTCAAATGCTATTCTGTTTTCTAGTTGCAAGGTATTTGACAGATCATCCAAAGGCACATCTCATTCAGCCCCAGGGAGGACAGAAATTATTGCAGCCTCTCGAGAAGAGCAGAGGCTGAGGCTCCACTACCCAGAACTGAGACTAATTTCAGAAGGTAGATTGTCGTCCCACGGAGCTGAAGTGGGAGTCAGCACCAGCTAATAATGTACATGGGCTCCTGTAGTTTCCCTGCCTGCCAGAACTCTTTTCATGTGACTGGATCATACCAGACATCTATCTCCAGAGACTTTTGGGGTCCAATTATTTTAATATTTTCTTGTAAATACTGACAGTCATGCTGAGCTTGTGCTTTAAAACAGGATGTTTTGTAAATGTCACTTCAAATAACACAGAAGGTTGCTGCCAGTCCCTGCTTGAGAGACTGAAGTTGGTGCAAAAATGCCCGTTTTGTAACTCATTTATATAAGCCTGTGTCTACCCTTACTTGTGAAAAACTACTTTGGACCATCTGGCAAAGACACCTGCTTCGTAAAACTAATGTAATGTGTCTTTGTTTTATTGCCGCAAAAGTACATTTCCTGATGTCTCAATACTTGCTTGGCCTCAGAACAGTATCTGGAATGCATTTTAGTGAAGGAAGACTCAGTGTCTCAAGACTCCTTGGTTAGACACTGACTAGATAACATATGTACAAACATGCTATTAGTTGAGGTATGTAGGTTTTAGCAAGCTGTAAAAAAATTTGGAGATGCTTCTTTCAATAGTTGTCCAAGACAAATTACTGATCTTAGGTCTCAGCTTAATCCTTAGACTCAGCTCTGGTATACAAAATTGCTTATTAGCATGCTTGATACAAGAGCTTGATAGACTGAGTTTGTTTTACTAAAATCATTTACCACCACCATGTTTCCTTCTTAATATAATGTTTTGCAACTTGAAGAGACTTTAATCTCAGTGCAGATGTTCCAACAAAGTGCATTTGTACAGCACAAAAGGATAAAAAGAGCTCAGGGGCAGATCTTACTCCTCCTGTACTAGGAATACCTTAAAAGAAATGCTGCCAAGCTTCCTGCAGAAGGTTAACAGTGAAAAGTGAACTCATCGCCCTCAATCCAGAAGCTAAAAAAAGCAGCATTTGAAGTACACTAACTACATAAAATGCAATTTTAATCTTGCTATTGACACAAAAGAAAACAAAGCTTCTCTTGCAGGGAACCATGACCACTGAATTACTTTTCTGGAGTAAGAAACTTGCCTGTTACTTCCTTTCCTCCTCTCAAAATAACACACATGCATTGTTGAGTTGAAATGAGCCCATCAGTTCAGAATTGAGCAGACACTCTTGCTGGAGAGTACTCTTTTCTTATATTAGTTCAAAAAAATTACTTAGAGAGAGGGCACTACCTCTTAGGTTGACAGTAAAGGTTTTTAAGGATGGGGATAGTGAAAGTTGGTCTCAAAGGATTTCTACTAGCTTTTCTAAAAACAAAAATGGATAGGATAGGATATACAGCTTTGCTCCTGTCTTTATAAGGAGTGGATTGGAAAAGCAATTATAGTATGTAGCTAATTCTAGAGCAGCCCATTAAAGATATTTTGAAGTCGTTGTTCAGAGGGGACCTCCTCTCGGGGCAGCTGCCGGGCCAGCAGGGGGAGTGCCCAGCCCGCGTGTGGGGCTGTGCTGCTCCCTAAAAAACCCCACCAGCTGCTCCGGTTAAGGAAACCTGCAGCTTTCCTTGGATATCAGGATCTGGCTGCGTAGTAGTCTGAGTAATTTTTCAGTTTGAAAAGCACTTGTCAGCAGTTCAAACCACAGATGCAAGGGTGCATACCTTCCAGAGCAGCTCACACTCCCGCTCCTCCAAGGCCTTCTTATGTCTAGTGGTCACCACTTTGACTTCAGACTGCACCACTTTGGCTTTCATCTCGACTTGCTCTGCCACAGCCTGGGCCTGCTCAATACTCAGCTAGGGAGAAAAAAAGACACACACACTCAGGGCTTGACCAAACCCATTAAAAAATGCATCAGAGGATTGCTGCTTACATTTTACATTACATGCTACGCCTTCAGGTAAAGGCATAAAATGACAACTCTTGGATTCTTACTAGGCTTTCTTCACCCATTTCATACACTGCAGGCTAAAATCTGTCAGGATTGTTTAAATACATCTATTACATGGAGTTTACACCTTTATTGTGCCTTGCACCAACACCACAGCACTAAATTCTGTGTGCAATTGCAGCAAGCAGCTAATATGGTGAACAAGAGGCTTGCACAAAAATTCATACTCATATTTTCTTCCACGTAGAGAACCCAGTTTTTCTACCCCCTCAAAATGGTTCAGACTGTTGTTGTGTGATGGGTCTGCTTCTAGTAAAACATGACACTGTAGGGAACAGGCTGTGTTGTCTATGCATTTGAGCTGTACAGAAATACCCCTAAAAGAGTATTGAGATAATAAATTTAAAAAGCAAAACAAAGAACAAATGGTTATCAGTAAAAAAGTATTCATATAGTTATTCACATCTTGGGTAGAGGTATGAATTATTTCTAGTATTCAAATTATTTCTAATATAACCTTGCAATGTTAGTATTTTAAAAATATTCTGTAGTAGTATTCTGCAGACTGGACCCAGAAGTAGCACATCTCTTTTCGCCCCCTCAAATTAAAAATGGTTTCCTCAAAAAAATCCATCTTAAACTAGTCTTAAGTTTCACAAAATATTACAGAAAGGGGCATAAAAACAAAGACCAGGCAAATCTGAATAATCACAGTTCCCAATGGAACAGGTTCAATAGCAATGGTTAACAATTTTTTTTAACATCTTGGTCATACAGTGAACCAGCAGATGAACCTATGACCCTCAAAGAAGTTAAAAAGACAGCAACTTATTAATTACAAAATTCTAGAATACGACGATGGCCTGTGAAGGTATTCAGCCTAAAAAATGGGGGGGGGGAGGGGGGGCGGTTCTTACAAGTACACATACACTTGAAGGGAGGGCTCTGAGAGGGCAGAGGCAATGGGCACAAACTGATACAGAGGTTCCCTCTGAACATTAGGAAACAGTTCTTTTTCCTCAGAAATGCAGGCTCATTGAAATAAATTAAAAAGTAATTTCAAGGCTTTACCATACATTTAGAACCTTCAGGAAGATACCCTCATTTTTAATTGCACGTATGAGGATGCACCAATCTAAGAACCACCTGCTGCAACAATCTGTGAGCTACCCATTGTGATTCAGCATCACTGAGGAGGTCAGACAGGACACATTGTCATCTTTCACTGAATAGTTGTATTTTTTTAACTCTTAGTTCAGCAGCATCTAGTTTATGCCAACAACTGGAATGCTAAAACATAAAAACTTAAATACAGAATTACCTGGACATTTTCATTCCAGTAAATTATTTTAAGAAAACTAGCCTGAACTAGATTTATTCTTCCAGGTCACATAGGTGATCCTTTTCTGTAAGAAAAAAAGACTAATTTGGCCAGGTGATTGCTCTCTGGAGATAAGTTGAAGACAACCCTGAAAAAATCAGACAAGACAACATTTCTATCTTTACTCCCAGGAATTCTCCTGCAAACTGTCAGGGGAAAAAAGGAGTGCTACTTGGCAGCCAGCCTGCAGCCCAGGGCTCAGTGAGAGGAACAGGTATTTCAGCGCTTCCTCCTTCATCAACTCCCAGAGTCACCCTCACTACAGTTTTAACGGGGAGTGTCTTCAAACTCATAGACAGCCCGTATATCCCAATCCTACTGGAGGCTGACCTGTCCTCTCACAAAATTGACAAAAAATTAGAATCTCATTACAACAGTTAGCAAAGTAGACATGAAATCCCAACTGGCCATGGATTAAGACTTCATAAAAGCCAGTAGGCCACAGACCCAGCTAGAAGAGGCCACACATAAGAATACTGTGCCTCTATCACCTCTTTGCCATTCAAATACAGAAGTTGCCCTACTGCAGGGGAAAAGCATGCATTTCTTCCAAAACAGACCTCAATTCTCATCAGTACAGCAAAACACCTTAGTTCCCTTGTAAAGAGAAAGAGAGGTGTCAGGGAAACTATCCACTCATATTCTAATCTTAACAATGATGTCTGTGAAAGCATAAAAATCATGATTTATTTATTTTTGATTTTTGCACTCAGTACCCATTTAGAACTATGATCTATATATATATGCATCCCTTATTATGCCTTAGACATAAGAGCAATCCAAATTTCTTCATTAATCCCCACTAATACCAGAGTCCACCTTTCAAGAACTCCATAATAGCAGGAGAGGTAATAATTCCACGTGGATGCTGAGATCTTTCAGCTATAGGAACCAGTTATGCACAACCAGTTGTCTGCCAACTACTTATGTCATCATCTGGATTTGTTTTTACTTGCCCAAGTATGAACAGCTCAGATCAGTGGGGGATGCCCAAAATGTTAAGATTCTAATATCATTCAAGATATTGGTGAAGTTTTGGTAAAATTCAGAGGATTCTGCACTCTGCCCAAATAAGCTAGAACAGCCTAGGAAGGCTGACCAGCCACAAACATGCAGAGGTATGATAGGAGGGAACAGCAATAACAAGTTATTTATATCTGAAGCAAAACCCAAGAGCATTAAATACAACTTTTGGGAGTCTTCTTCACATGGAAATCCCTTGTTCACTTTGATTACATCACTGTACGATGTCAGAGTTCTGCCATGAAAACTCTCTCCTGCTGTTCTGCAGGCATTTTCTGTGCTGAACTGGTCTTGGAGAGGTCAACATTTTAGGAAGCATGTTAAGCAGCAGTGTTTCTTATTCTGGTCAGACACCACATAATCTTTTTAACAACAAAACCTTGTTAAAAAGAATAGCTTTTATCATGCTCCCTCCTCATGGTATGTCATAATTTCCCCAGTGCTAGTGAATTAGATTGTCAACCAGTTCACACACTTGGGAGACGGAAGACAAGGCCGGTGTTATCCAAGAATTGTGCTTAGTTACTGAATGTGAGATGGAAAACAACTGTTTTCTGCTGTTGGCCAAGAAAGTAAATAATCTATTTGCAGCTGTACCTCTCTATTGTGGCTTTATCGTGGCTTCTCAGGGCTCTAAAGATGGCCAATACCACTCCCCATTCTATTAGAGATGTCACCAGTGCCTTGTGTTTGTTAAAAACAAGTAAAACACTACTTTGCAGGGTATCTTGTAAACTTTAGGGGTTAAGCTGGTACTTCCAATTCCTCAAGAACAAAATTTATTTAGCAGCAGTCCTTGTGCAGGTGACATGTTTCCATGACACAAGGAAACTGCACACAGAGCTTCCAGTGAAGCAGAAAAACATGTTTCCACAAAGGAAAGCAATGCAATGCAGACATCCATCACTAGCTATTGGTACCAGCACATTTCAGTTTTGAGTAAAAGGTGAAGGGCAAAGTTGTTTCAGAACTTGAGTGTCCTTTGCAATCTCCCTTTAGGTGGACACCTCTGTGAGCTCCCCTTTATCTGTATTTCACCATCTGAGGGAAAAACCAGTGATGGATCTTGCTCCAGTGGCTACAGCAACTGATGGTACAATGTGAACCTATGAAGAAACCAACTGCAAAAGTCAGAAGTAGCAGGGTAGCATTATAGAACTTGGTCATCTTCTGGATTATCCATGCTGGCTACAGAGGTGCAAAATCAAAACTTGCCATTTTGTAGAATGGCACCATTCAGTAATTTTTTGTATTTGTATTCCTATGGGATATTTGATGTTCTAGACTCCCAAGTTTTCGCTAGTGCTGCTGCTTTGTTAAATGAAGAAATAAAAAATGATCAAAAGGATAAAATGCTCCAGGAGAAAGAAAAACTACTACAAAGCTTGTGCTTGGAAGAGCTGTGACAGAGGTGCTGATGCCCTCACTGAGTGGTTTCTGCTGTCTGATACTCAAATCAGTATGCTCACAGATATGTCTGCACAGCACACAGTTATTTGAAGAGGCTACCTCAGACCTCTGAAACAGCAGGGCCTGTTGATCCAGGTGCTGAGCCATGATATTAGATCAATTTAGTCCAGGAATTTATCCAGTTGAACAAACTGCAGCACAACACACCACCACAGTAGCAGTACCATGAGATACATAAAGGTTGTTTATGGTAACTGGACTGCAACTCATCATCAATGCTGGCTTGCATGAATATATTTGAGAAAGTTCCTAGGATTTTTTTTTATTCCATCCATCCACAGATGGGAGGGAGGTATAATTTTCCCGCCATTAATTCTAACATTTAAGTTTCCCAATCTCAAGTTTTCCAATGAAGGTGTAAATCTCTGGAGAGAAAACTCAAATTCAAAAGCAAATTTTGGTTCTGCTGAGGAATTCTTTAGTATTTCATGGGTGAATAGACCCTGGGTATTGAATAAAGAATATTAAATATACACTTTCCTATCTCAGCATGGAGGATTTGCAGTTTAACTATTAAGGTATTTAAGACTAAGTTAACCCTAATCAGAGGGGAACAAACACCTGAGATGCTTCTTCTCTGACAAACTCCTTTCTGGGTTTAAAAGCACAGTAACTACAAAGAATCCTGAAGGAAACTTTTTGGTGTGTCACAAGGTAGCCTTCAACCAAATGGAAGGTGTTCCAGCTGTAAGTGATTTGCTTTCAGTTCCTTAAGGCACAAAAAGATACAGTGGGCTTGTTTCACTGAACTTTTCCAGTTACTTATCACTGTGCCAAGAAGGATAAAACAATCAGGATATAACAGTTGGCTTTCCCCAGCATCAAGAACTGGATACAAACCTCCTAATGTTCTTACACTAGAAAAATTAACTGGAAGATCCTACATAATTGCAGTGAAAGGTACCATGATTTGCAGTAGTACCAGTGCAGCTATAGCACAAATCACAGTAGCTGGACCAATTTAAAGGCTTCAGTCTAATGCATGTAAAACACAAAAACATCCTCACTTGAAGTTCCTCACAAAGATAATTTTAAAAGAAGCTTTGATGGAGGGAGGGCTAAAGGCCAGGTTAATTCATGCCAGATAAAACTAAACAATAATTTTGGTTTGTACTGCAAGAACAGACTTTTTGCCTAGTTTTAGGCAGAACAAGTAGTTTGGACAGTGACATGTGTCAAATCCCTCTTCCCCAGTAACCATCTGCTCATATGTTGCACTGAGGAACTCACTGAAATACCATACAAAACAGTGGCTGAAAGTACAAAGAAATTCAGCCTCTTGATATAAATCCCAGCTTTAGAAAAACACAATTGACTCCATTTTGTTGACAAAGCTTCATTTCAGATTCTCAAACCTGCAAGCCTGACTTCTAAGCCACGCACAGGGCTGCCTGAGCTAACTCAAAGTGACAACCCCAAAAGGATCCCTTGCAGCACAGCAGTACCATCCTTCTCAGGTATCGACCTCCCAGCAGCACAGATCCATATGGCAACCCGCAGGGAAGCTCCCACCGAAGGGCAGAGGCTCAAGGCAACAGATCAGCTTCCTCCTCTGGCCAGCTGAGTTTCTTACAGTACCTCCTCACCCCCCGTAAAGGTGTTAATCTATTTCATACCACTTCCCCCACAAATTTGGGAGGGAAGCTCCTAAGCCTTTCATGACAGATAAGAGAGCAGCTCCCGCTATGTTCTGCACATGATCAGTCTCACAGGGCAGTGAGAAGCTTGTATGGCCAAGCACCCCAGCAAAACCAATTACAGGCTCAGCTAAGAAAGCATTTATCTTGTTTTCCAATAAACCCACTTTTTAAGACATCTGAGATGAACAAATTAAAATGTATTTTAACACGTTCACCTGGAAATTGACCCTAAATGAACATGAGTGCTCAGTGCTTTACTGTTACGCAAGTGCATTAGGTTACATGCATACATCCATACATATATACAGTTACACACGTATAGATGTATTTTAAGAAGGTGACATTTTGAAGAAGCCATCTATCTTTCACCATAACAGATTTACGTTCAGTTTGTGACCTAGTCCTTGGAAAAAATTCTGAAAGAAGACAGCTAAGTGTGCACTTTCATGAGGTAAAACAAGGCAGTGGGACATGCTCCCCACATATAGAAAGGCAGCAGTCCTGATTCCTCCCACAGAATTTATCCAGTGTCAGCTTTGGCTTTCATGTCACCCTGTGAATCAGTCTGAGTCTCTGAAAAGGCTGGAAAAGTATCCCAGCTAGGAGTATAGCTTTCTGCTGAAATAAGGAAGAGTCCTACCAGCAGCCCAGTTGGATGTTGCTGCTTCATTCCCTGGCACCATTAACAGACCTTGTAGCACTGCAGTGAACCAGCCAGGGGGCTGACCCAGCCAAAAGTAAACCCACAGAAAATCTACCCTTTCAGCTGGATCAGTTCATCACACAGGCACAAGTTCTCAAGTTAGAGACAGGCTTAGGAATGCAGGCCAGAACCACCATAGCACAAGGAAGCACAGGCGGCTTTCCATTGCTGCAGAAATATCACTGAGGAAAAAAAAAAACAAACTTCTTGCTCTTTCTTACAGAGGACTTGAGCTTCCTTGAAAAGTGAGGTTTGGACTCTTCTGGAGTGACAGGCTACATCAGGCTTCAGTGGATCAAGAGGTTGAAATGTATCCCAACTCACAGCATTTTTTTTAAGTCTGAAAAACAATATTTCCTCCAAAGCCACAGGAAGAGCTTAAATAAACATTTCTTCCTAAAAGCCTTCAACTTTGCTTAACCAGATACTCTCCAGCCAGTTGACTTCATGGCTTGATTTCCTCTCTCCTGCAATGCTGCCCTTCAAATTCCACCATTTACTTTCAACTACCCCTCCTCATCCATCCTCAACATCTTCTGTCAGGGGAGCTATCACTTTCAGAGCCTATTAAGAAAGAGTTTATGGTACAGCAATATGTATCAGTCCTACTAAGAAGTGTTACTACAATGTATTACTTATCAAGCCTCTTAAGAGTTCCAGTCTTGTGTCCCTCATATTACAGCTTGTACTGGCATGTACTCTGCTAACTATTTCCATACTTTTAAGAAAACCACTCAAGCAAATTTCTTTTAATTTAGAGACTACTTATTTTAGAGTTTGTTTTGAATTCATGCTGACATGCTGTGTCCTCACGAGGCTAGACATATACCTTCACAGCCATATTGTCCCAAGAATAAGGAGAGCTCTGCTTCATGAAAACTTTGAGTTGAGCACCTCTGCTTTTAACAGCATCACATGCTCTTCTGGCTCCTGTTGATGTTGCTTCAGGAGTAGCTGGCTTGGGCCGAACAATTTTCCCATTCCTGCACATGCACACACAGATTTCTACCCCGAACTTTATCACAGATCTGTCTGCTCACTAGGCTTCTTTTCTGCAGTGGTCCAGACTAAGAATCCCACTAAACTAATGAAACAACTCCGCTCTTGAAAACGTGGCTCATTTTACAGATCTTTACACAAGCTGCTCAACTAATACTTCCAAGACAGTGAGTGGGCTGTAGCCAGGCCCGGGCAAAGCTGCATGAGCTAAGCTCAATAGAGTTGCTTCTTCAAGTTACACCAGCACACAACTTTCACCTGCACCATCAAGCAACAATCAGCCCACCACAATGGCAGGAGCCTTCAGCATAAAGGCCAGAAAAAGATAAGGGAGGAATGAGCAAAGTAAACTCAGTGGGAAGAAAATCAGGCAGAAAAGCATTTATGCAATAGTAGCAGAGTGGTGCTCCATGATCTCCTGCTAGTTTCTACTCCAAAACACAGTCTTTAGATGATTTAGCCATACCAGTTAGATGATTAAGAGCCCTGGAGGTCAAAAGCAGTAATTTAATTACTAACAGGCAAGCCCTTGTCTTTGACAGCCTGGAGAAATTCAGTGATGCTCTTTAAACTAGTATAATTCCTTCCTCTTGGCATTTTGGGGATGAGTAAAGCATTTCAGTATGGATACTGCTGAAGAGCTTTACAATCCAGTTTAATACAAAACTCAGAAGATGCTATGTTTTCCAGGATTCTGCCTGAATCTGGAGTTTAAAGTTAGCCATCCAGCTCCAAAAACTTGTTACACTGGCACAGTAAACAAGTTAACATCAGAAACTGAAGGAAAATGTCAACAACTGATTACTATCTATACAAATATAAACTATTATCATTCCACTGATGCAAAGACTTAATGAGAGACTAATTAGTTGCTTTTGTCACACAGAACAAGCTTAATTCCTTCATTTACTAGAAACAAACAGGAGAGGACAATGAGCTTTGGGGTATTTTAATTACTGTTTGTATTTTACATGTGCCAGGAAAGCTTACCCAATCTGGAAAGTAAGTTAACTCCAAGACATTCTACAAAAGTTTACTAAAAAAAAAAATAATCTTAGTAGTTAAAGCATATAGTGTTAAGTTTTGTTATACCCAACTCAAATTTAGGACATGACACCTAACAAAACTACATGGCAGCAGGTGTGGAATGAAGCTTCCCACTATGGTCTCCCCATCCAATGTCTCCCTAGAGACAAAACTAGTACTAAAACAATATCAAACATACCACTGGGTACAACTCAGCAAAACTAAGTATCTACATATCCCTGCAGTTTAATTCCCAATGAGAAGTCCTTCTCTAGTTTGAAGCACTGTGCTACCTTCTTTCCAGCCCTTGCCAGGTATAGATGTTTGCACTATAAAACACAGTTGAGGTAGAGCACAGCAATAGGCAGAGTGTGCCTCTGTGTGTGCAGAGCAATCTTCTCATGGAGATGCTCTAGACCCTCTGCACATACAGGTTAAGGAATTTCACACTAATCCAGCAGCTGATTAGGATTTTGCATTTGGTGGCAACACTGAAGACGTAACAAGAGTCAAAGGTAGGCAGAGTGCTAGAAGCTATACAGGCAGGAAGATGCTCAAAGAAAGTCTCAGTTGTAAAAACAAAACCAGGTTTTCAACTCCCACACAAGATCTGAGCTTACTTGAAACACTTCACACTCAAATGCATTTGTACAGAGCTTCATATATATTGTGATTTACATGACAGGATTATGCTGCAAGAATGCAAAACTCATATAGCAGCACTTTATTTTCAGCTCCACTGCCACTTCTGACAGAGATCTGAGAAAACAGAAGGGGTGAGAAGACTGACAGCAGAAGCAGAGAGCTTTCTGCCTTGACACCTTGCCCTGTAACAGACAAGCTGGGAGAGGGGGGAGAAGGAGGGGGAAATAAAGTACTCAAGTTGAGAGTATCTTACTTGAATAGCTTGTCGTCCTTGCTGAGCATCTGCCAGGAGCTGAATGGTGAGAGTCCTGGAGTCCTGCAGGGCATCTTGGAGGTAGATAAAGCTGTGACCCACATGTCGTCCCATGGTACATTCCCGACATATGGGGACAGAACAGGTATCACAGTAGAAATGTAGTACCTGGAATAAGGGGGGAAAAAAATATCATTACATAAAGAAGAAATGAAAAGAAAACAGAGCCAGGATGTGTTAAAAAAAAAAATCCAAAAGTTCAACTATAAGGGAGACGGTTAGAGGCAGTAGCAATCGGCAAAGACTTCACAATAGTTTCTCCACAGAGGAAGAGCTATCCTTCCCAGTAAACTCCAAATCATGCCCTAACAGTTAGATGGAAGTGTCGTTGTTTTCTTTGCAATACAATACTAGGAAGAGTGTCCACATCAGCTCCTCTTAAGAGCGGAAGCCATCTGCCAACACTTACAGATTGGAGATGGCATCTATGGCAAGTTTCAGGTGAAGACTTTTCCTGCAAATACAAACACCAAATTCTCTTAAGAGGGCCATTCAATAATCAATACACTGGAGAGCTGCAACAGCAGCACACCGACTGCTCACAAGGGGAAAACCAACCATGCATGCCAAGAACCATCCTCTCTTTTCAAAATATGCAAATGCCTTATGTTCAGGACAGCAACAATATTGGGCAAAACTCCCCCCTGCCACTTCCATCAACAAAGCAAAAATCCTTTGCTATGACAGTGTTTTCTATGCTAGTGATGCTTTGAGATGCCTGAGTTGGAAAACAAGACTGGAACTTTATCACGCCCACCAGAGCATTTGAATGCTACAGTGACCTGTGGGTAACCACTAAATCCCCGTTCTGTTCACAAAGCACTCCCAAACCCTATATTCAAATCACAACTTAGACCAAGATATAAGCCTAGAAAGCAGGATCCATTCAACAGCTACAGCTGCTCCCATTCCATCCAGTAGAGGGAAGTAGCACACAGATATAGCAAATTCCATGGAAGCCTGCCTTCTTAGAGGGAAGCAGAAACCAGCTCTCTTTAAGTTTTTCTTTCCAAAGATGCAAATGAAGGAGAACAACACTCAAACACCAAAAAAAATTTGTATTCAAGTTTTGCTCTTAACTACACACACTATTTTTCTGGAGTGTAATAATAGAAAATCTGTATTACCACGGAACAGTACAATGGCACAAAGTTTCATACTACGAACAACTTTTCCATCACCAGATATTCGAAGCCTACCTCACAGAAAGGAGCAAGAGCAGAACAAAGATTGGACAAGTGTTTGATATGCCTGTCTTCACCCAGCTGTCATCCAGCCACTCCGACTCCAGCTAACAGCTCATGATATGGTGCATAACATCTCCCTTTCCCTTCTCCCTCAAGAGCAAGGGGAAGGACAGGACAGGTGATTCCCTTGGATTGCTTGGGCTGCATAAAGCAACATTTTAAGCTCCTATAAGCACAACAGCTGAAGTGGTATATGGATTAATTTCTCAAAGTGGTATGTGTGTGTTCATGTGCACAAGTCAGATTTTACTAAAACCTGCACGCTTTTTTTCTGAAATTAAGTTTTGCTGAAGGGAAACTGGAACAGACTTATGTTTCCTTCTGCTCAAACACTAAATCCTCAAGCAGTGTCTCAGATTCCCATTTTTCCAAGTAAAAAATTGCCTTAGGTCTGAAATGCATTGTTCAAACACATCATCTTCCTCAACTAGAGGGATTCTTGTCCTTACACTGTGGTTGTCTAAATATGTATACAATGTTCACTTGCACATGAAGTTCTGTAATTTTTCTGTTGAAATTACAGGGAATGTTTATTACATGTTGCTTAATAACTTCACTTAAACAACTGAGAAGTTGAGAGAGAGTGAAAACCAAGACAAGGTATCAAGTTAAGTCATATGAATCTGATATACTTTAAAAACATACAGCAGGGATTTGGGGCCTCAGTCAAGCAGAGCAGCTGAAAATAAAATGGTGACCATATGAACAGAAGACCAGAAGCAAGTTAAATCTATTACTAGTCCTCCACAACAGTCAATACCAGAAGCACTTGGTCCACTCGTGCTGCAAGGCAGCAGCATCCACTGGGTAAAAGAGTCACCTAGCTGTTCAAGCCAAAGAAAAAACCAAGCTTAAACTGTTCAGTTGCCTCTTGCCACCCACCAAAATGTGGTGGGAAACATCACTCCTGAATTTAGAATGAAAAGTGACAAGACCCCTATTCTCATTTAGGAAATAGGCAGATTACACAGGACATGGCAGGGGAAGGTCTTGTATAGGAAATACTAATAGAGCCATTGATAAGGCCTTATTAATTTCTTAGTCAAACAAACAAATAAAACAAAAATTATAAAGCAACATAGATTTAAAACAGAGAGCAAAAGAGTTAGCAAGTTGGGGCAAAAAGAAGTAGATATGCTGGTCTGATCTCCATCACTACACTTTACCTTAAGTACACAGAGGGGGAAATCACAAATGCACAATCCCTAGTGCTCTCTGTGGGGAGGGGAACTAGCCAGTTAGCCACCAGAAGAGCACTGAAGAAGTCAGCTTCAAGGTGAACAAGCAACTCCCCAGAAACTCCTTTCTGGGCACAAAGATTACAAGAGAAGCCCCAAACTTGGCAGGGGTACAAGGGCAGGTCTCCTCCCGCAGTCAGTGTGGCGCACACTTGTCAGGGGCGCCCAGCAGGCTGTACATCAGCTCTACCCAGCAAAGGGGGCACGTGCCCGGAGGATAAAGCTGGGAAATCTCTGGCTGTGCAGGGTACAACCATGAGGGGAAGTTGTGCCAGCTGGACTGATGGGGCTTGGGCACAGCATCCAACTTGCCTGTGCTTGCAGCCACAGCCAGGAGTTTATTGTTAAGCTCAAGCCTGCTCACATCCCAGTCCCTAGGTCATGGCCACAAAGGTCACATACTGCTAGATTAAGTTTCTATGCCTTGTTCTAAATAGAGGGGGATGGGGGGAGCCAGAACTCCCCTTTCCCCCCAGCAAGCAACTCCCTGGGGGAAAAAAACCAGATAATCATACCGAGCATAGGTGTAGGACAATGCACAGCTGTGTTCTCAATTCAGAACTGATGCACACACAGTGAGCATCACTGTGCCCCCCTCCTTCCAACTGCAGCAATGTGAGACGGCCTGCCCACATTTCAGTTCACTGCTACTGCAGCATTGCAATGCTCCTTCCAGAACAAATAACTCCTGCTCGTCACAGGACAAATAACAAGACTGGTCTTGAAGTGTGGATGGGCAGGAGGAGCAGGAGGGAAGAGTAAGACTAAGTCTTCCTAAGTGGACATCAGCTTACACTCAGGTAAAAAAAAAAATTACACACCACCCCAAAAATCCAAAACAAAACAAAAACTCCACCAAAACAAAAAAACAAAGCAGTACCTATTGTAAAGTCCTAAAGATTTTTCCCCCTCCCTATCTGAAGAGCCAGAGATAAAACACCCAAAAGATCCATCAAGCTGTAAATTAACTATTATCCTGTTAATTTCACTATTTACCTGAACATAAGAAAAACTGGTTTATAAGTAAACACCTTTAAACTTTGTGGGTTTTTCCAAACCACATGGGTAGCAAGGAAAGAAGTATGAAAGCAGAGACAGATTTGTCCTTTCAAAGAAATTTATAATCTGTGTAAACTGCATTTAATTGATTGTTTCTTTCTGTAGTAATTATTAAGTAATTAAGTAAAAATACCACTTTTAAGATAAAAACTGGTGCCCTACAACATCCTATCCAGTAGGGGAGAAAATTAATAAGCAAGTTTAGGAGCTTTTATTTCTTTTTTTAAATTGTTCTACTACATTAATTAGTATTTTACAATTAAGTGAAGAGAAAAATCAGAAGGAAGAGGGGACTAGTTTTAGAGATAGTTAAAAGTGATTTATTTTAAAATAAATCAGCTATGGGTTGATTATTTCCCAAACAGGAAATATTTCCTGAATTGGTGGCATACAATTTTAGACACAAAACAATAAAGGGAGCCTACTTCAATTTAAACAGAATCAGTGAACCATGTTACAGGGCTATTCATCTTTTACAGCCACAGCAGCCCAAGAAATACAACAGCAAGGCCATAAATGTGATTGCTTCAGGAAAGGCTGTACAGTGCACCGTAAAAACATTTTACAACAGCAGGAATTCCTGGGTGTCGCTCTCCCCATTTTTTGGTCCATCTGCTTTCAAAGGGGGCAGGGGGATGGGCGGAGATGTTGTTAAACGTCCCCCGGGACTGCACAGCAATCAATCATCATCTGATGAATGGCCACTAAAGTTAAACCCTGACCCCACTCCACAATTCCCACACCAGCTCTTCTCTCCTTACTGCTGACCAGCTTCCAGCATGCTCCCCCACCTTCCAGCCCTCACCAAAATTTCCCAAATACCAAGCCCAGACAAAAGCAATGGAATGTAGTAGGCACCATGACAGAGAATTCAGCAGAAACAGCATCTGAGGAGGCTTATCCTTTCGCTGTGTTTAAATAAATGTTCTTTCAGCAATACTCACGGTGCCCTTCTCCTCCCAGCTTGCAAACACTTCTCTGATTTTTCAGAGCACATGTGCATGCAAATGGACAATAAAGCATGGGGAATCTAATCACATTGAAAATCTGTTTTCTGTCATGACATTTCAGTGTCTTGCAAGGATTTTATTCAAGCCTACAGTGTTAGGAATTCGTACAAAGCAGCAACATATAAGGCCACATTTTTTTTAAATGCAAGTTTGCTCTAAAAAGCTACCCTGTAATCTTAACCAACAATATAAAAGAAGTCTACATACAAAACAGTAGCATCCTGGTTTCCACTTTTAGAAAGGTTTCAGTATGGTACTTTTAAGTTAACTTAGGTCGATTTTATGATTTTTTTTTTTTTAGTCTTACTATAGTCAGTTTAAAGTTTTCCATTACTAAAGATGTTTTATTACCAAGTTTCCTTGACAGTAGCTCAAACGCCAGTGGCTTTGTTACACAGTGTTAAGGCTTAGGTGGCCAAGTTTAGTATAAAGCAATTTGTGGGGCTGTATTTTTCTTTTTTCTTTTGCTTCTCTCCCTCCCTGAAGAAAAAGCTGCTTCTCTGCAAAAACAGGTAATATTTTCACTCTGTAGGAAACTGGTTTCTACCTCAATGGCAATTTGTGACAACTAACTTCATTCACACCATGACTCAAGTAGTACTTCAGGAACCTTAATCTGAAATTTGAGTGCTAAATATAAAGACTGAAGACATGGGCAAGTCACATGATACACATCAGAACTACAGGCAATTTCCCAGTATACTTTAAGCATTTGGCATTCAGAGATACCAGTTAATGATCAAATTGCTCCTAGAACTTGTATTTTAACTTGATGTTCTGGTGTAGTGGAGACTGGCTTAACACCAATCTTCCTCTCTGCACACAGTGGTAATTGGAAATTGCACACCAACTCCAGAAGGTCTCCACAGCAGACAAGAGAGTTACTTCTTGAACTGAGCTTGATATTCTAATAACAAAATTTCCAAAAAAGCATGGGCACTTTGAAGTGTTACAGCCCTATCCTACACAGGGCACACAGCATGTACAGGTAGCTGTACCAAGTGACAATAGTGAATTTAGTTTACTGTTACCTTCCCTTGCCACTTGGATGAACAGAGGTGGGTTTTGCTCAATTTAGAAATTCTTTAAGTGCAAGAGGATCATTCAGTCCTTTTGTTAAATTCACCTTGATTTTCCTTACCCCACCCGAAGTAATAAAAGCCCAGCTAACAGATGTCTTGGCTCATGCAAGTCTGTTTATAGGAAATAAAGCTTTTCCAGCACTAGTGTTAATACCCTTCCTTCCCCAGATGCTCCAGTGGGTTCTGTTCCTTTTTTCTCAGCCACACAGGTATCTCTTGGCCCAGCACATGAAGGGGAAGGAAGCTCACAAATAAAACCCCAAATGTGAAACCACACACAGCTCAAGGCTGTCACTTCACTCTGCAGTTAAACTGACAGCTACTCCATAAGGAAGCCCTAAATCTCCCCTGTCTTGCTCCTATCTCCCTCCCTTTACTGATCCAGTCTCAGTGAAAAGATCTGAGTATCTTTACAAAAAGCATAAAATTCATTTCTGAATAAACTATTTTTATCAGCTGAGCCTGGGATCAGAAGATTAGTAGGACCAGCACAAGGAAGGGGGAAGAACCCATAATTAAGGGCATAGAGACATTTGATGACAACTGTCTGGTACTCTGCCAACCTCACAGCTGGAAATCAGTGTAAATCTTCTCATTGATAGCATTAGTCTCAAGTTCTAACTGGAAGAGAACAGTATCTAACTGGAGTTGAGTTGAACAGGCTGGTAA